TTGCAAAACAATTAATGGCATCTGGAATAGCAGAAACTAATGTAAATAAAATATTTAGTTCAGTTGAGGAAATTGTAGCTAATCTTTTCCAAAAATTTGAAGCTTTTCTTAAAAATCGGCATAGTGAAGTTAACTGTACGATTTTAAAAGAAACCTTTCATTGCTTTGATTCATGTGTTTTAAGCCATATAAAGAATTTTTCAAGTAACTACAAAAGAAGCGAGATGTACAAAAAAGATGAATTGTATGTAGAACCAGTTTCAAAACCTTTAGGTGGTCGGTGGGATATAAAGACAAATAGGAGCAGCGATAAATCTTACAAACACTACGTGGAATGCACGTTTCAATATGTACCGATCGTAGACACTATTAGTACTCTTTTTAAAAATAAATCGTTTAAAAACTTGTACTATAACAAAAACCATTTATGCAAAGATGGTGTATATGTTAATTATTGCTGCTCGAAAAATTATAAGCAGTCTACTCTATTTCAAAGCAATGAAAATGCTTTGCAAATCCAACTTTTTTATGATGAGTTCGAAGTAGTAAATCCTTTGGGAAGTAAGACTGGTATACATAAAATCGGTGCAATTTATTTTTCAATAAGAAATTTACCATACGAATACTTCTCAAAATTAAGGAACATATATTTAGTTGCACTCTTTTTCTGTACTGATTTAAAAAACGAATATACAGATTTCAATATGATACTAGCGCCTATTGTAGCAGACCTAAAATATCTGGAAGAAGATGGAATTAACATAGACGGTTGTAATATAAAAGGCACATTAGTAACTGTGGCACACGATAACTTAGGAGCTAATATCTTATCTGGATTCGCGTCGTCATTTAGAGCGACCTATTATTGCAGAATTTGCACAATGAATCGCGATAAAGCACAAAAATCTGTAGTAGAAAACTCGAATCTTTTAAGATTGCAATCTGAGTACAACGACTTGTTCAATTTAAATAAAGATGTAATTTTTATTGACCTTAAAGAATCAAAAGGAATTAAACACTTTTGTAAATTAAATGAGTTACGCTATTTTCACATAATGGATAGTAACAATGTAGATTTGATGCATGACGTTCTTGAGGGAGCTGTTCCTTTTGTACTAAAAAATTTTTTTAAAACAGCAATACAAATGAAATATATTAACCTTGCGGAGATAAACAGTAAAATAAGATTCTACAATTACGGGTTCCTTCAAAAAAAAAATCTTTGCTCACAAATAACAGTCGACAGAACAGGTGCATCACTCGGCCTCACTGCTTCTCAAAACTTATGTCTTATATCACACTTTCCATTCATTTTTTTCGATCTTCAAGAAAAATTACCGCATTTGTGGGAAGGTATTACTTCTTTACTACAAATAATCAGAATTACATTGTCACCAGTTATTGAAGAAAAAGATATAGAGATTTTGAGTGAAACAATTAAGTCTCATTTAACTTGCATTGTAGAACAATAT